AATAATCAGTGACTTTCTTTGCTTAGAAAAGAAACCGCTGAACCCAGTGCTCCTCTTCCTCCTGTTCCTCTCCATCTTCAGCCTGCTACACCTACAAAGCGTCCCTCATTAGACACAAAGAAAGACAAAGAGAAAGAAAGGTTAGGGCCAGGCGAACTGGAAAGCATGTTGATATTAAAAGCTGCATGCCTGTGTTTTTACTTGATTACTTCATCACCTGAAAAATAACTGAAGCTGTTTTACTGTAGAAGAGACACATCAGACCCGAAGCGACGGACTTCTGAACACAATGAGAAAGATAGGTCAGAAGCATGATGAATACTAACCCTTGGACAAGATCATTGTTGAGTGAAATTAAATTAACTAAATGAGACTATGCTTCTTTTTCAGAAAATACACAAGTGACAGTAAACCACTCAAAAGGCCATCAATGAAGCTCAAGATTGAGAGGTTCGGATAGATGTTTTGCAACAGAATGAAGGCAGAGGGCAGCAGAAGTGCATGCGTTATTCTCATTTTGTCTTGGGTGTTTGAGGATGTGGCGATTTGCAATACTCATGGTTTCTTTGTGTTCGTTAAAACAATCCAAATTGTCACCTTTATTCCCCATTCTGCTTTTGTTTCTAGAAAAGACTCCACAGGTTCTAAAAAGCTCCATTCTAGAAAGCTCAGCCTGGATGGACGGAGAGACAGGTCTGCTCATGCATCACTTATCATTAAAAAAATGCTGAAAAGATCTGAGATTTTCAGGGCAAAGAAAATCAGGTGTTTGTGTTTTACGCTTTGACTGCAGTAAGGACTCTACTGACTCTAAGTCAAGCCGTCACCTTTTGAAAAGACAATCAAGTGAACCTAAACTGGAGAGGTAACCTGTTACAGCAATGCAATAGTAAAGTATTTAAACTTACTGTTGTTTACAAAGGTAAATGCATGTTCGCCACAGATTGTTTACTATAAACTCTCATGTCTTATTTCTCCAGGAGAGATTCTACTAACTCAAGGTCTGGCAGCTCACCTCAGGTCAAGAAATCTAATGAAAGGCAAGAACTATATTTACAGTAGCTTCATTTAGCTGTAACCAGCATGCCAATTCTGCCCTCTCCGTGTCCCAGTTGTAATACAACAAAAAATCCATTCAAATAATAAATCAACAAATCACAAAAATAATGTTGTTTCACAGATAGCAGTAATACATAATACTGTTGGGATGTACAATTTCAGTGTATTGTTGTAGTCCATGACTTTCACACTACATATGCTTTGTTTAAATTATATTAAAGTTAACCCTCATAGTTGTGTTCTAGTCATTTTAACCGAGAGAGGATTTTCTTTTCCCCAGAAAATGCTAGTTAGTGCTATTGCATTGGACTAAAACCTAATAACTTTGCATACGCAGGGTATAACTTCCTCCCTAAAACAAAAATAATTTTTGTACTTTTTGGGGGGATTTTTTTT